TTTTGTGTATCACTATTCACAACAACGTATATTTAACAGTTGAGTATGGTTTTGGGGCCAGGGACTAGATTAGTTTGCTAGAACTACCTCTCTGGTCCCCACCAGGAATAATATATATATTATTATTATTCATTCAGATAAAGTTCCCTGTACAATTGTCTCTTTTTTCTGGTGGAATAAATCTATTCTATTCTATTCTATTCTATGTGCAGTAACATGCACAGTTGGGCAAACATTTATTTCATTCAACCTATTGTTTACTCAGTTTTTGAATAATTGAAAGATTCAGTATCAGCTTCTTTGTTCTGTAATAATTCAATGCATACTATGTATATGAAGCACTAATTAAGTTTTCTGCATATTTGCCTGTTCAGTTTACTGGTTCAAGTTGTGCAAAGGCCCACATTGAGTGAAGAGATTTTTGTGGCCCAGAACAAAAAATGATAAACAAAAATCCATTTAATGACTATTTCAGAATAAAAATAAAAAAGCTGTCCATGCGTGTTGATTTTAGAAAACAATTTACCAGTAAGAGTTTTCCCCCTTGACCTTATCAGGCCTAGTAAATTTCTGTTAACTAAGGCTTCAGATCACAAATATCCATATTAAAATGTTGTGAATAGATATTGAAACAGTTTATCAAGCATATCCACTGAAACCAGAATGATCTACGTTAGTATGAATTATCTACCATGTACTTATTGCAACTTAGTTTATTATAATCTATCTAAAACTATATTCACACTGGCTCTGTTGAGCGCACTGAATATTGTATGCAGTTGATTTAATGCAGCCATCTACCAATATAGCATAGGCATCCCAATTGTGTGGGCAATAATACCGCGATGTTGGGGCTATAACGATATTCTCAAAAATTAAATAAATGTCATTATGAACAAGAGAATAAATGATCACCATCATCTAAAACATGACAGACAGTGAGTTCCAATTAATACATGTGTAATAAAATGTCTTTCTTTATTCACCTCCTTTGGTAAACATCAGTTTGGATCAACATCAAAACATTTGTATTCCGATGTAGGGTGCCCTCATTGAATATGAAAACCTTGTAACTACAGTAGTACTGGTTCAAGACTGAATTGAGGTTTTTTCAGCCAAACAATTGTTTGTGAAACTTATTTTCAGCATTATTTTGTATAAAAAAAATCCAATCTCGCTTCACATGCTATAATAAATGCAGTCTCAATCTAATCTTGACTTCTGACTGTGAGGGCGTCATACTAATTTCGTCCGTGACATAGGTGTGGGTAAAGGTGTTTGATTGTTTGGTATAAGATTGTTTTATGAATTCAATTATGTTTGTTTTATACTAATACTGCCTCTCCCCGTTGTAACTATAAATTGCCGGCGATCTAGTCATGGTATGTTTGTTAAAAAATATAATCCTTAAATGGTGACATTTGTTGAACCGTAGACAGATGGTCTAAACTTAGAGCTCAGACAACTTGAATCAAACCTTATCTAAGGTTAGAGGTACTGGTGTGTAATTTAGGTTACTGATCCACGATTTTATAATTTATGTTGTTTTAAACCTCCAAGATGATAAACATTTATATCATAGTTATCACACTTATACCACCATTATCTTTGTCAAATTTGTAATTTAGTTAACTATGGTTAAACACACATGTAGCGTCGAGTCGCCATGGTGATAAGCAAACTAGAAAAACTCAATCGGACTCAGTCAAAAAGCAATGTAAAGTGCAAAGAGCAATGGATGTTGGTGTATTGATTCCCGAAACTGTAAAAAAGGAACCTCTTGACCATTGGAAATGTTAAAAATGGATCCTATTTGCCCATTTTATAACATAATCCACCCGTTGGTAAGTTTCTACTAGTAATCACCCAGTAATCACTCTGTGAAGAATTACGCAATCTGGTCGGATGAGTAAGTAATCAATTCATTTGATAGGCTATGTGAGACAATACATCTTAATATAAGATATTATCAATTTGTCAAACAGTTCAATAAATTAAAAAAATACTGTTTTTGCTTTGCCAACCTTGGATGCAACACATCATGTCATGTGGGTTTTATAATAAACTATCTGGATGAGCATATTTTTAAAAAATATTAAAAATTCACAAATATATACCGATATATGTGGAGTTAGTTAGTTGCCGTGTCTATTATTTGTCTGTTTTGAAAGGGTAAGTGATTTTATATTATTTATTTTTAGCACTTTCTTATCTTGCGCAATCAGCGCTATTCAAGTTTATACCCAGGGCCACTTCTATTTTTAGCATCAAGTAGTAAGTTTATAAATGGTTGTCAGTGGGCGCGGTATATTCAGTCTTGGTCCGATCACTTGGGCGAAAAGTTCAGTACTAATCCCGACGCTACTACGATAACAGACTATTTGAAAATTTATGTGTTCGTGTTTTCGTCGAACAAGGTGAGTTTATTGGTGGCCTCGATTTTTTTTTATTTCTTACTAGTATTACTGCGAGTTTTAACGCAGTCGTTAAAGTATACATTCAGCGCTTTTTCTTCGAGGCGGAAGTGAAATACACGCTTGAGCAGACAATCTCATAATATACGGGAGTTATTTTTAGAACAGTGACGTTTCCAACATTTAGCCAATCAATTCGCTTGTAAACCGTAATTTACATACCGGGGAAAATAGATTCCCCACAATGCATTTTGAATGACGTCATGAACGGGGGTCTTGTTATTGAACAATTCCAACGACCCCTCTAAGGCTGGATTGAGGTGTGGTTTCAAACGGAATTTTTTTAGCTGAATTGAAGGATTTGGATCAGTTTATTACAATCGGACTACACTGATTTTACAGGTAATGTCGATACTCATTTTGTGTTATAGTTTCGGGGGAATGTTTGTGAAGTATTTAGCTTCTTTACGAAGTTGTTTCAGACTACTCAGTCTTGTTATCACAAACTTTTCCTTTATAAATCGTCGTTGACCGGTTCTTTGGCCGGAGCGTTGATATTGAAATGGTTCCTGTTTCCGTGTTTGTGATTTAATCGCCGCTAAACGCACGTAATTTCTAGAACCGATTGAAGACACGGTCTGTATGCCGCAAGCGCTGACGATTTGATCTTTCGGGAAGCCTAGAAGTTTCCCCTGATGACAGTCAATGAACGTGTACCATATAATGTCGGCCATTTTGTCTGCAGGAGGTAACCAGGACATCGAATCTGGCATTCGAGTTGCCACTACATATCGTCTCCTTCATGCAGCTAAAATAATATCAAACATGATGTCTTTCATAGAATGCCTCTCGGTATTTGTTGGCCAACAGCTTGCCCCTATAAACAAAGCATTAAATTGTGAACATTGTATGACAATGCATCATCGTCGGCATGTTGTTATTGGTCACGCCATTACGATTGGTGATCCGCCGTAGCTTTTGAATGGCCATATATATCTGAGAATGCCAGCTTTTGTCAAGAAACATATAATTACTACTCCAGGAACGTGTCACCGCCAGCTTACGTTTTCCACGCATATTCCCATCTCCTTGTGTACTAGATTTCTCGGGTAGCGTATAAGAAAAAAAAGGAAGTATGAAAAAACTAGAGCAATATAGGACTCCACCCAGTTTGACCTAGAGACGGATCATTTCGCTCAATGTACACTTCTGTATTCGAGTGTCATTTGTAACAACGTATCGCTTTATATGATTTCATACGCATATGTTTGTGTTTCACTATAATCATATTTTTTGCATGTACATTCAATTGTTTTGTTCTCAATTTCGAATCACTTCAATCCTCTTCTATCATGTTCTTACAGAAATCATGTTAATCATGTATAAACTATCTTATTGAAATTATTTTGCATGGGAGAAGAAAGTATTGGTGATTTAGACCCACTTCTGGTTGTTAGTGTTTAAGACTATATTGTGTATGGGTGTGTCCCGTTTAACAGAGTTAATTGCAACTAACAGCTTTTGTTTATTGTTCAGTGGGTGGACTTAGTTTCCTTGTGTCTGCTTTTGAGTAGACGTCAGTCTACAAACTGCAGTAGTTGCTGTCGTGCTGAAAATTGAGAATGAGGTAGTTCAGTTGTTTTTTTGTCAAAACCCCTCTCATCTCCACCAAATATTAACAATGACAATATATGTTGACTGTTCTTTTTTTTCTTGCAGAGATTTGAGCTGGGAGATGGCAGCTATACGAAAAAAATTGGTGATTGTAGGAGATGGAGCTTGTGGTAAAACGTGTTTATTAATTGTATTTAGCAAAGACCAGTTTCCAGAAGTTTATGTACCAACAGTATTTGAGAACTATGTTGCAGACATAGAAGTTGATGGAAAACAGGTAAGTTGGGAGTGGTGTTTATCTATCGATGTATAGTCTTGTGTTATGGTGTGTGTTTTTGCTTGTCACTCTAGTGATTTCAAATAAGATGGAAGTTGAGAAACTTGTTCTTTTGTTCTCCATATGCATGAACCATAAAATAGATTTTACTATTAATGTAGATTTTATCTTCATGTTTGGACCTAGTTACACTTGTGTGAATCGTTGACAGTATTGTTATTCATGAACTTGTTAGCAAGTGTAGTTTCACATTCAAGTCCATCCAATCTTCTGTTAATGTTGCTCATTGTCATTGTATGTCTATTAATAGCTTTGGTATCTGTTAAAATGACTTAAGTTGGTCATTGTTTTCCTGAAAATTGAGTGGGTGACCTGCATTTTGGTGCTAGAACTTGCTGCCTGGGGGGTCTCTCACATAAAGTTCTTGTGAGTCACCCTGTTGTTAAGGGTTAGATGTAGCTCACTAACACCCAACAAGTGTACTGTATCATGTTTTTCCCTGTGTACCTGCTAATAATAGTGTTTTGGTTTTCAAGATTGAAACCCATAATGACATTAGGGGGAAATAAATTAGTTTTCATCTGTAACACAACGCCTACATCTTTTCATCCATCCATGGCGACTTTCAGCAGAAGATGCATTAAAGTTGAAGACTGTCATGTGAACTGGTGTTTCAAAATAAAACTAAAATAAACCACATTGTCCACACATCATTTGCAATTAGTCTTATTTATTGTAATAATATAACAAATGTATTTTTAGGGCTTGTCTTATTAGTTCATTTTTTGCATCTTCAATCTTGCTATTAAGAGGCATTCATCTATAAGCTATGTGTAGTTCTGTTGAAATAACTTTTCATAGGCCAGTATTCACAATCACGATAAGAACATATGTGGTTTAATTCAATTAGACATTATCAACTAATTGGTGACAATTATTGTATACCGATACTCTTAAATATGATTTTTGTATTTACTATGTTAGCTTGTAGCTCTTTTGAAAATACTTACCCCTATTTGTACTATGTTGCAGGTTGAATTAGCTCTTTGGGATACAGCGGGGCAGGAAGATTATGACAGACTTAGGCCTCTTTCATATCCAGACACAGATGTAATATTGATGTGTTTCTCAATCGACAGTCCAGATAGTTTAGAAAATATTCCAGAAAAATGGACGCCAGAAGTAAGTCAATTGTTCTCATGATTATATATCTTGTACTTTATAGTCTGTCAGTAATTGATATTAATACCATGTGATCTGAATTACGAACAGTTGGTTTTTATCTTAACCTGATTTGTTCATTTTACTTCCTTGTTTTACAATAGGGTTACCTGTCATAACCCACATTTGTGTAAATTGTAAAACCTGTCTAAATGGAACACCATTTTTCAGTCTCTTCCTCGTATACACAAGTTTTTGTTTTGTTCATGAATGTTTTTTCAATAAGCTGTTATGATTGTTGCTATTTGTGGATATGTCGCTGTGTTATGCTATGTTATCACTGTGCATATTATTTCTTTCCAGGTCAAACATTTTTGTCCTAATGTACCTATTATTCTAGTTGGTAATAAGAAAGACTTAAGAAATGATGAAAGCACAAGGAGAGAACTTGCAAAGATGAAGCAAGAACCAGTCAAAACAGAAGAAGGCCGTGGCATGGCAGACAAAATAGGTGCCTTCGGTTATTTGGAGTGCTCCGCTAAAACCAAAGAAGGCGTCAGAGAAGTATTTGAAATGGCCACTAGAGCCGCACTACAAGTAAAAAAGAAGCGCAAAGGCAAATGTTTGATATTATAAATCTCGTTGTTTAGTTAAAAATAGTGTCTCACTCGAGTTTGGCACCTAAACATGTACTATAGAGAACACTTGCTGTCTAGCTAGCACATGTATAATTGAGATGTCGCTCTAGCTGTCAGTTTATTCTTATGTAAAAAATAAATAAATCCAATTTGTGTGTACATGTTGATCCCAGCGACTCAGAAAGTAACAGAAAAAATTCTAAACTCATAGTTGCTGTCGACATGTTATTTGATTAAACTCAAAATAACAGGCTGTCTTGTGTTCAGTACATCACTTTGATTCACAGCTGTTGGGTTAAACAATGCAAATGCTGATAGAGCATTGTCAAAATACTTCCACCAAAAAAAAGGGACATTATTTTATTTTTTACTTCAATGTTTCTGCTTGTTTTACTATTTGGATTTAGCTTTTAGTTGTAACTGAAATAAAATGTGATCCACTGTCCTACAATATAGCAAGCAAAACATATAACTAATTATACTCGGAGACAATAACATTTATCAGGATGAGTGCATTTATGGCAGTTTTGTTGTTGCCATTTTAGTTGTATACAACAGTGTATCGTTAGTGATGTATCTTTGCTGTTTCGATGGACACTGACAGTTGGATTTCAGTGTATGTTGGTAACTAAATAGTGTCAGAAATTAGTCATTAGTCAGTAAATAATGTGCCTAGTTAGACTGTGGTTTTTCAGGCTTGTCACAAGAAACTTAAGTTATTAATTCTGTATTTTCAAATCTTTGTTCTCATTATGGAGAACATAGCGTTAAAAAAAATACTGGAATTCTTCTGAAGATATGGAATTCCTAATGTATAAAAACAAAAGAACTGCCCATTAACATGAATTGTGAAAAACTATACAAGAAAAAAAAATAAGAAATTTTGTTTATTAGTGTATTGAGTTTTAGTGCTTTTGTACTTTTGTTGACCAATGGAAAACCTAATATTATGATTATGTATGATAGCGAGGATTTTTTTCCTGGTTGCTTTTCTCCCCTTTCCCCATCTTTCTTTCTTCCATCCCCTCTTCAAAATGCTTTTTTTTTTTAAAAAAACTGTTCAATGCTGTAATCAAGATAGTTTCCATCAATGTACAAGTTTCGTCTTGCAACTCCCAGAATTATTGCTCTTCATATCTTGTAGATTGGTCACCAACATCTTGCTTTTTTTTCAAAATAAAAACGAAGAAAATGATCTTTTAACAGAACTGTACAAATATGCGTACTGTGTCAATTTGTTCACCTTGTGTAATCTCATGGTAAGATGCAGGTGTAGCATGTGGTGTATTGTTTTTCAAATTGCTAGTAAAACATTTTTGCTTTCGATTATTAAATATATCCGTAATCGGCAATATTCCGTTGTTGAACAGGGAGATGGTGGTTTTCAAGACCCATGATGTATACTTTCACACTTGTTCCATTTTGGGCTATAAATTTTCTTTTAGCTTTTCTTTTCTTGTATATATTTTCAGCTATGCTTGGTCATCTCTCTTGCCAAACAAGTGAACAGTATTCAGAATTATCAATTTCCTATAAATATTACCTAGTTTGTTTCTTGTACGGCCTACTCATCTTTTTGAATTGTCATGTAGCACTCCACCTCGTGCTTCTCTACCAATCAGAATGCTCAGTTGCAGAACTTTAGTCTTTAAATGTCTGTCTGGTTTGGTTAAGTCAAATTTTTGTTCTCATAAATTCTGGGAATTTTACACAATCGCACGTCAAAGATGGAACATGGTTTTAATGTGCTACAAAGAAACCACAGTGCGAAGCTACATGCAAGATTGTCATTTGATTGGCTTACCCAGTCCTAACTACCTTGTTTGTAAACTGTTTTTTTTTTCAACCTTTCAAATGACTTAACTATAACCTAAGCTCACACAACTCTGAATGTCACTCTGCTCATTGAGATACCTGGAATTCTGTCATTCACCTTTGGCCTACTGGTATTTCATTTATGAGAATATATATATATTCATAGATGGTTTGAGGCAGAGGGTTTTGAAGTTAGATAAAATCCTTCCAATGATTCAGGGATATAGCCCCCCCTCCCCCTAAAGTGTCTCTGGATCAGACTTTATATCTCCAATGAGTCTTCATAATTTGACCACTGTCTTGTCAAATTTTGAACATGACACCCTAGTTTAGTCCTCTATTGTGAGCACTTGAAGCAGAATTTAAAACTGCAGCCAATGACAGCCCGACAACAAAAATCATCTTAATGTAGTATTCCTACAGGTATGAGCTGCAAAATTTCCCCTTATAAGCATTACAAAGTCCTTGGATAGTTCACAAAAAATATCCAACAGAATCCTGAAATCAAGCCACTCCTCATTCAGGGCTCAAATATTTCATATACCTGGGTATTTGGTGTCATACCAACTGATTTTATCATTTTTTATGGTGATCACAATCTGTTGGAGATGTTCTACTTATAATTCAAGGTGGGAATGCTACTTCAGTGTACTGGACATTGAAAACAAGAACTGACTGTAAAATATATGTTGAAACATATCAACTGACTGATTACACTCTCTCATAACAAACTTGGCCACTTCCCTGAAAAAAAAAACAAGACAAAGTGTGGTCTATAAACCAAATTTATTTGTACCCATAAACTTATAGTCAAGATTGAATAAATATTTATTTACTTGTATTTTGCAAGATATAAAGACAGTGACTTCAGATATGCATATTAGATTCATTTACATACAAGAAATGAGTTCTACCAACAAAATAAGTTACAATATAGGTTTCTATTGGTGAAAAGAAATCAAGTAACTATCTGGTAATCTGTTCACACCAATTTAAAAATCGGTTTAATCTTGAAAAATTACTTATCAGATTTGTTATGTTTGTCACTCAAAAATATTGGCATTAACAATCATAATAGATATATACAGGTTTGTATCAATACTTCTCCACTATTTGAAAAATTGTACTTCCATGGAAAGAAAAAAAATGCACTGGATATCCAAAGATTAGTGAGGCAACTGTGACATAAACTACCAGAATTAACAAATGCTTATTTTGCTACCCGCTCCCTACAATGGGTGTGAAGTGGGTTGCATGCATGGGCTGTAGTGACAACAGTACACGATTCTGTACCTACAAGCTGTTACAACTTCTATAAACGGGCAATCACTGAACATGTCGTTCAGTGCAGGCACCCAGGTTAAATGTGACTGGCAGGTATGATAACAATATTTAGGCAGCTGGGTTTACATTCACAGAATACAACACTGGTTGGCATGAGAGTTGTCAGTATACCTCCGCCCCCAAAGCGAATAGTAGGATTTCTTGCAATTCTCAGTAAAACCACTTGCTTGAAAGTGGATTCTATCACCAGCTGGGTTAACTCACTGAGTGCTAAGAGAGGAGCTGTGGTAAGTGATATACAGTTGTACCTAAACTGGCCCAGTTGTGGTAATTTTATATGATAATTTAGAACAAGTTTTTTTTTCATTTTTTTTTTTATATTTTTTGTGCCAGATGACAGTTACGGACATTGAGTGCCACTGTTGTCTCTCCTGACACATAGTGCTTTTTGCCACAGAAGTCATATTCATGTTTGGGACTACATGACAGGGCTGTGTGGCCATCTGTCTGTCAAATGGCAATTAGTAATGCGCTATCCTGGCGTTAACCAGGCCCGGTCAATCACAAGCACCTGCGGACCTTAACCAAGAATCCCCCAAAGTCGTATTCGTTAGTGAATGAATCTCAGCCAGTGGAATTGGCCTTCCCATTGAGTCTGTGGCACACTCACCCAGGGTAGGGGTCGGCCCTTTGATGTTCAGCCTTAGGTAGGATTTGAACTTGGGTCTACCGATCATGAGTCTGATGCGACAACCACTATGCTACCAGTGACCGGTGAACAAGTTTGTTCTGCCACGCCCTCTATATTTGTCACTACGTTTCTGTGGTAATAAATATGCTAATGAGTTGCATGACTTATGAGCTGACAACCAATAAGAAAGGCAGCTTTTGGTCCGTTTTGTTCTACGCAACTAAACCGCACAGCACAGGTGGCCTGACGTTTAGAATCTTTTGCGCAAGCGCACGCCTACTTTCCTCGTTTTGTAGTGTTCCACTCCCAGGTTCATCACAGCATATCATGAATAAGTAATAGCAATAGATATGCTGCAGAATCGACCAATCATATTTTGTGTTGGACCACAATTTAGGTAAAAAAATATGAAATTACCACGGTTGGGTTAGTCTAAGTTATACCCTCTCTCCCCTTCTTCTGGACTGATAATTCTGGCGTACACTGAACAATCTCTACCATCAGTCTTCAGAAAAGTGCACCCACAATTTTTACTTTAAGTTCCTTATATTGCATATACATTTACATGAAATCTTATAAATAGTGTTGACAACACACATTATAGCGATATAATACCATTAAAGTTATTGTTCCACAAAAAAAGCATGCAATATTACATCAAGCAGTGTGGTGTTTTCAGGTGTTGTATACGATCCCAGAGTGCAAACAGTGCATATGTTAGAAGAACATACAGTCTTGACTCAAAAAAACGATTAATTAATTAATTAATAAAATATGTTATTCTTATAAACATTAATTGTATTTATATATTTCATTCGTTCGGCTCTAAATGGAATTAATGACAATGCTAGAATTCATTCTAAATAAATTAAAACTTAATTTAAACTACAAATTCAATAAATAAATATTGGCTTCAGCCTTAACACTACTCCCAATTATTTTGACTCCATGTGATATGTACAAGCGGCAGTTATATTCCTAACTTGCAAAACCCTGCAGGCAGAGGAGTTGTAATAGTGCAGCTACACAGTGCTGTGATATCCTGCCTATTTAATCACAACATACTTTAAAACACCGATTTCTTTCACCAAACTTTTCTAACTAGTCACCCGATGTACCAAATTAAAACTTTCTCTCACACAGACCATTGTGCACTGTGAAATATTGCTTCTGTATTAGATGAACCAAATGCCCATGAAGGGTACACATACTTTTAGTGCTACTAGCACTTGAATACAGGAAATAAATGAAAGCTTTACTGGATTTAGTATTTCTACTGGAAGTCTAATTGTAATCAAGGAAGCTTAACATTGCTTTGAGTTCATGTTTATTTTGTAAGCTTGACTATATGGGTCATGAGTCACTGGTTTCGACACTAACTTTGATGTTGAGGTCTTTAATAAATGATCATTCACCAACATGGAAAATGAGCTGGGTTTAGACCACTGTGTTAAAACAATCCTGTTGATAATTTACATATTATTGCAAACAAGAAAGATTCTTAACCCTTTGACTGCCATAATTTGTCTTGACTAAATTTTGCTGCAACATTTTTTATATATATTTTACTACAATGTTGATTTGAATAAATTGTACATAATTTCTAAACAGCTACAGATTAAATATACAAGTCCGGCGCTCAATGGGTGAAATAGATAAATATACTGATATATATATATAACATGTAATTATCTGGTCTGGTGGTCAGATTACTGCAAGGCAGAGGTACAAGATCTTCTGGATATTCCCGCAGATGGACTGAGAGAGAAAGACTTGTCTATCACCTGATTACATTATGTCACAGTTGTCGTAATTTCACATTGTTGAGTTGTGTATGGCAGTGGATGGTATTGCTAGTAGATCGTAGTAGTGGTGCAGAACCTCCTTCAGTGCCTTGCACACCTGGGATGACGTACACGTCGTGCAGTCAACGAGGTACGGATATAACCCGATTACTTGTTTCCAAGTATCACTGTCAACTGCAAAACGAAAACAATCATGAATAATTACCATGAAGGGGATTTTCTACTGATGAATTTAGTTTATTTAGACTGCCATGTTTTTATAGACGCCGTCATATCACAGGATTTGTTTATGTATTCCTAGTTTGTTTCACTTAGTTGTGTCTGCCTGCACCGTGTGTTGTTTACTTTCTAGTCAACTATCTCATACTATTAATGATCGCAATACATAAATAACAGCTACCTACAATTGAGCAGTGTTACGCTGTGTTTTCATATGACAACTAGGTGGCGCTATACTCTAACTTGGCACCAAGTGAGAAATCACACAAAAATAGTAGACACAATGTTTATCAAATTATGATTGTATGCCACTAGTTAAAAAATAATATCTTCACTCCATTTATTGTCCAAGAGCTGCTTGTTGTCTGTCTCTCAACTTTAATCATGACAATCATGGTCCAGAGTCTGACTGTTTATATTAGAATAACCATTAACAACTGCTATATTGATGTCATCAAATTATACTTGTTAGAGTCTTCATTCAAACAGTATAGCGCCATCTAGTGTTCATTCTACTCCCCAGACTTTATTCAGTTATTTGAACAGTTCAAAACTTACCATTGCCAGGTTTGGCTTTCTTCAGTGAATCAAGCAACGTTCCAACAGCCTTCAGTACAAACGCCATCTCTGACATACGAGGCCTACAAGACAATACGAGAGAATAACATAATGATACCCTGTGATCAAGGGCAATGAGACCATGTAACACAAATCCATTCACCTATCTAGTGTTCAGGTAATTTTTCATGCATATTTAATGAGCTATTTTGCATACATTCAACTGATTTTTCAATTCACACAAATCAATTTACAAAACAAAGTGTGCTTGAAAGTCACACTGGCTTCAGATTCATTAGATGACACATCTAGCTTGTTTGTTTTCCTTCTACAAATACCAATCATAACTAATTACAAATCAATTAATTAGTCCCTGTTCGGACGTAGTCCGAAAACGGGGACTTATGTTTTGCCCTGTGTGTGTCCGTGCGTGCGTGCGTGCGTGCATGCGTGCGTGATCACCTGTATCTCGAACATGCATGGACCGATTAAGTTCAAACTTCACTCATACATCACACATTATGTGGGAAATATGCACATGCATTTTTTTCATGATCCGATTCACAATAGTCGAACAGCGGCCATTTTAAGGCCGAAAATGCATCAAAATCGCACATTTTCACCATTCCGGACCCGGATCTCAGTTATGCATGAACAGATTTTGTTCAAATTCGGTACATACATTAAACATAATAGGACCTTGATGCAGGTCATTTTTTTTTAATCGGGTTTGAAATGGCCGACTGGCGGCCATTTTGTTTTAAAGAATTCAGTTCTGGATCCGTATCTGAGACATGCTTGGATTGATCGAGTTCAAACTTCACACACACAAGGTACATCATGTCACAAATATGTATGTGCATTTGTTTCATGATTTCATTAACGATAACCAAATGGAGCGCTTTAAGGCCGAAAATGCATTGAAATCGCACATTTTCACCATTCCGGACCCGGATCTCAGTTATGCATGGACGGATTTCGTTCAAATTTGGTACATACATTAAACATAATAGGACCTTGATGCACGTCTTTTTTTTTCGGATCAAGTTCGAAATGGCCGACTGGCGGCCATTTTGTTAAAAAATTACGTTCTGGATCCGTATCCAAGACATGTCTGGATTGATCAAGTTCAAACTTCACACACACAC